CCCCCCCTCTCCCTCTGCCCACTCTCTCTCTCTCTACCTGTCCTAGTCTAAGCACAAAGCACGTGACATCTAATCTCTTGCCCAGTCACAGTCAGCCGGCCGGGTGAGACAAACGTACGTCTAGCAGCCTTTCTGTGCTTATGATTTTCTGCTATAATTTACTTTGTAAAATAATTAGGCGAAATCAATTTAAATTCTAGAACATTACAAATGAGCATACTTGTGCTCATGAAATGTACGGTGAGATTTCGTGTTGTGCCAGGTCATGCAATATTTTCATAGTATTGCATTTTTCATCTATTAATATTTATTATGATGCAACTCAGTAGAATCTCGGTCGGGGCATAACTCTTCGAAACGTTCCCAGTACGACCCGTACGCGTTCATCGACCAAATGGCGACCCCCTTCGAGGTGCCCCTGGATGCGGCCAAGAAAGGACAGAAACGTAACGGTGACAATGGTGGACTCGCCGACCAACGACCCATGCCTCACTGCAAAGCCTGTACAGATTTCAAGACCTGGATGCAACTCACAGCCCATCCGAGACGAGTAAGTAGATCTAAATCTTTCTGTTAGTGACCCACGCTGACTCGTAAAAAAAAAGTGGTCTCAAGTAACTCGCCCCAACCGGCCAGCGGTCCAAATTCCAGACAATGTCAATGTGCATTTTTTTACGTGGGCTTCATGGACTTAATTTTGTTGAACATCACGTCTCTATTTTATTTGATGCCGACAAAGACAGATTGGGGCGCTTTTTCGGTAGTTCCCACCCCCCTTATATTTTGAGCCTGACCTACATCGAGGTCTATACGTTTGATGCTGCGAGCTAAGATATCAAACCTAACAACTGCAAAACATCAAATTATGGTAAAATTCAGGGGGGCATGCCCCCCTGAAACCCCCCACCACATTTTTGTTAGGACAGGGGGGCAATCCCCCCTGAAACCCCCCACTTTAAGGCCAAAACCGGCGAATAACAATTGCGGGGTGGGAACTACCGAAAAAGCGCCGAAAATTGTGGTCCGTGTAGTAAACACAAGAAACTGAAGGGGAAACAGCAGATAAAACAGTAGATCTAGCAGGCCTGAACTTACTAGCCTACTTGTCTTGTAGCATGGTCTTGTTGAACTGAACGAGGCTATTTTTACGTCATGTAGACTAAAAAGCCTCTAGTGATACTGTAATTATAACATTAACTGTCTCCTTTTTCTCTGTATGTTACTCTCTGGTACTAACAACTCCAGTCTTCAGCACTTATAGGATGTTATAATTTTATCGCTTTACTTTTACAAGTGCCACAAATCTCTTCCTAAAACAAATTGTGTGCGCAAAAAAGTTGTCATGCCTCAATGGTGGTTTATTTATTGCTTCCCAGAACATGAGCCGAGAGGAAAGAGAAAGGAAAGAATGCCCTCTGGACTCGGAGCTTCTGGGTCGCAACACGTGGGCGTTCCTGCACACTATGGCCGCCTACTATCCCGAGCAGCCTTCCGCGGAGCAACAGTCGAACATGACACAGTTCATCAGCCTCTTCTCCCAGTTCTACCCCTGCCATAAGTGTGCCTCCCACCTCCGAGAAGAGTGAGTATTTCAGTGGATTGCATCAGCCCCATTTACATTTCTATGTTTTTGCTAACGTTTTTAGATTTAGAAATGTATCAATGGATATTTTTTTAAGTTGTTTATTATCGTACAGTTTTCTCAAGCTGTGAAAAAAATAGTGTGTGTCCACCAAGGTGTATTCTTTAGAAATATGAGTAAGAAAGGAATGGTGTTGTGCACAGAAATTGAGAAAAAAATGCTGTTGTCACTGAGCAAAGGGAAGTGAGGACAGAGATACTGCATGTGTTGTTTGTTGTGTTTTAACTCTTTTCTTCTCGTAATTACCGCTGATATGTGGGTAATTTACAGGGGGGGGGAAACTTGAACGTATGGCTGATATATCGGGAATTTTAACAGGGTCCAAAGCTTGTTTCATTATTTAATTCTGTTGCTTTCGAAACATTGGTGAACATCAAAATTCAGTTATGTTTCCAGTTATTTGAGACACCTACGCATAATTAGACGCTCGTCAAAATAATGAAATTTCAAAGAAAACAGCAATTTTCCTCTGCTTTGGAAGTTTTTATCTAATTTGTATTCAATTTCTACAGCACAGCATCTTTTGTGTCCATTTGAAAATATATTGCTCTATGTGGATATCATTTTAAAACGTTGATTAACGGCACAAAACTTGTAAATTTTCAGTTTCGAAGGACTCTCAAGCTTTAGAAGTTACCAATATGATGGCCATTTTCTCGCTAATTTTACTTCTAAAACCAGGTGACCCCACCTTCTTGTCACAAAGCAAGACAAATGAGCAAGTTTTAAGATACCCGGAAATGACAATTATAACTCAACCTGCCCAAAAATTGACTAGTGCCTGATAATGATTCCACCGCGTTATGACACATATATAGAACGCTACCACTGTAAAAGCCTACATGACACAGGAGAGTGTGGGGTCGAGTGCATTTCTAATTCCTGGTTGGTAGCAATAAATACAAATATGCCATGCTCTGAGCTACTCTTTTCTTTTAGAATTGTTGTTGTTGTAAAGTTCGGCTTGTTTCTCATTCGGAGTGTACGTCACAAATGTTTGCCTCTCATGAACTTTTGAAATAGACCTACATGTTGCTGCTGTGGTAATGATTTCATGATATTCTCGTGGGTGATGGAGAACAATGAAATTTCACTTTAAAAAGCTTTTGAAAATAGTATCGTTGTTCATCTTCCATCTCATTCATATCTTTCAGTCTGAAGACAAACATCCCAGATGTGCGCAGTAATACAAAACTGTCCCAGTGGTTCTGTGAGCTTCACAATTCAGTGAATGTCAGGCTGGGGAAAGTGGAGTTTGATTGTTCAAAGGTACGCTTGCTCAGAAGACGAGGCAGTTTTTCAAACTTTGCCTGTACATTTTAGCATGCACATGAGATTGGCGGTATGTGGGAATCTTTTAATTATTAGTGAATGTTGCAATGTCCATGTTTTAAAAACAGAGAATATAATCGTAATTTATCAGAAAAAACTAGGGAGCTCAAAGTCTGTTGTTTGCCCTTTTTCTAAAATGCAAGAATGGAAATTTTCCATAAATTTACGAAAATCCGTCATTTTGATTTGCTCCTTCATATTCCGTAAGTGGGACCTTTCAGTGGTGAGTCATTCTACTATGTGTAGTAATCTACCATTGATCAGAAGTGTATTTTTCCAATCTGTACAGCTGGCGAAAAGTTGAGTAAGTTTTGGCCTGATCAGTGTCCATCCCTGATAATGTGTGCGCTGGACTGTAGTAACATCCTGCTTTCCTTGTTATTGTTGCCCTCAGCACATTTTACAAACTGGAGGAAAATAGAAATACAGTATTTCG